GTAGCGCTACAGCTGTAGCGCGACATCGCGCTAGGTTGCGCTTACAAGTCTGAACGCTGCCGCAATGATAATACAAAATGCCTTCCCCCCTGTCGACAAACAGCGCCCCACAGAATCGCCTGGGCAGGTAAGGAACTGTAAATCGGGAACAAACTGGGCAGTTATACCAGGGATTTTGGGTTATGAGCGTTGGTCTGGAGACCTGCTCACGCTTCCCTAGGATTATTGGATGGCTAACTTTGCTGCGAGAGCGGCGAAAGAAACATTGATGACGGGTTACCTGCGCTGCATTCGCACCAGAACCTAATTGATTCAATGTAACAGTGTGCAGTTTCAAGTCAACTAGCCAGAAAAAACACTTTAGGATTACACATTTACCGCAACGTGGAACTAATGTTCCACACGTGTGAAAACATTTATTCGCGTGCGGTGACCTAGTTTCCAAGCGCGGCGGGGACTCCCGACCATCTCCCGTAAAATCGACACTTGAAGAGTCCCGAACCGGACAGATCCGGGTCGATTCAGGAGTCCTTCTCCGCTTTGTAATTCTCTTTCATTTGTCGGGGAATCTACTCAGGGAAAATCTCGACTAATTCGACAGCCCGAGTGGAAAATCGTAGAATTCACGGTCCTGAGTCGAGAATCAGCAAAATCAATCAGTAATCAATCCTTCTCACGGATTTTTTCCAGCGGCGACAGGTGCGAACAAAGCCTGAATAGTAATAACTAATCTCTGGTCTTCTCGAGGTAGAAAGTGAATTGAAAGGAGCTTGTAATGACAAACGAGTTTCAGCGCCGCCTCCGCGATACATCTACTGCCACGTTGCCGCGGTCACATTCAGTCTTGTTCGCCACGGATGCTGGGGCGTGTCACGGGTGGGGTATGGCTTGGCGCTAGCCCGTTTTCCACCTATTGTTGTCATTTTCCCTTTTTGATAACTGGTAGAAAGCGGCCTAGTCAAATTTAACCTTCTGACACGTACAAGGGTCCGCAGTAGACAACACTGCATAGTTGATGACGTCGCAATCAGTAGGGACGGTTTCAAGAGGGCTGGAATGAGTCTACACGCGTTTTCACCACTCGTTGTTTCTTAGAGCGCGTTCAGCCTTCGCGATCGCGCTATCCGAT